GTCTGTTTTTGATGTTGTACAAGAGTGAATGCTGCTAACCTCTACTATTGAATCCTTCAACTGAGTTAACCCTCCTGTTGTGTTCGGGTCAAATCTGACCGATTTACTACTTTCATCAATTATAACTTTTTTGTTTTACATTCGATTGCATTAAGGCTTTATGATATCCTTCACAGTAGACATTTGAACATATAAAATTGTTGATCAACACTTTCATTTAATTTTGGATGCTTTAGTCAACTTTGTAACACATGGTGTTCCCGGTCAAAAATGACCACCATAAAGAAAAGGAATTAGTAACCATCCGGATGAGATAAAACACCCACACAAACACACACACACACACACACACACACACACACACACACACACACACACACACACACACACACACACACACACACACACACACACACACCACACACACACACACACACACACACACACACACACACACACACACTATATGTGTTTTCACCCCCTTATGTGGCCATCCCCCATGTGAATCACACCTGGCACACACAAACACACACACAGAACAATTTGATACATTTCCCGCTCTTATGTGCCCATCCCCCCACATGGATCACACCTGACACACGCAATACATGTTCAGTGCCTATTCTTTGTATATTTACTGCAGTTTTTCATGTATACCAGTAGTCTGATACAATATTTACAGTTTGAAAGGGTGTTAAATGAAATTTGGCGATGATTAATGGTTTTGTGTTAGGCTTGTGATATTGTCATTTGTGGTTGTAGTTATTATTTTAATCATTATTTACATTTTGAAATAGAAAGTTCAATTTATTTTATCCGACTACATTAATTACTATTGCTTTCCCTTTCAATGGGTAGTTCGTCGAAGAACCTTTGGGCCTAGTCTTAAGGAATTACCCCGAGCCAATAATCAGGGTGTTCAGCCAGTTCTCATTCCCTGTTTGTCAGATTGCAACTTTGTCATGCCCTGTTGCGTCTCTTTCCACATCTCTGCTGATATAGAGGAACAAGAAACTCTTATTGTGTCTGAATGATACACAGCAGCATAATTTGTAATTGAAAAGGGATTGTTACATTGGTGTATGTCTTTAAGTGTTTTAGCGTTTGCCCATTTCATCTCAATCATATGCTGTGCCTCAAATAATGTAATCGCTTCAAATCTGTAGTACATCTACTAAACAGCTTTTCTAAATGGCTTAATGTGGAGACTATTTTTGTCAAGAGATACAAGGTTTTATTAAAATCATTTTAAAGTTGTAAATATTAAGGTATATTGTTCCCATAAAATGAATATGTAGCATGCAGGGAGAAAGCAATTTGTTCTACATCAGTTTCTGTATTAAATACAAGATTCAGGTTTTATTTTATTGTCATATATGCACATGAGCTACAGCAGGGCTTTTCAAACTCCGGACCAAGGTCCGGATCCGGACCGAACTGCAAATCAATCCGGACCGAACCCTGTGTCCCATTATAAAAAAAAAAAAAAATTATAATGATTCTGATAAATTAATGTACATCATTGTGTACGCGCGTCTTGTGTCAGACGCATTGTGAGAATGAACGTGCATATATATTTACTTGTGTGCGCGAGCGTGACACGCATTGCAGACCGCAAGTTAACCGCAAGTTTACCTTGACTTTCTAATGCTTCTAATGCCTTTTTTGCCGAGGTTCAAGGCATTGGCTACAGACAAACAGTGCCATTTCTCCCATAGTTCAAGCCATCATACTGTATGTATGTATTGAATGTGTGTGTGTGTATATTACAGGGGCGCCGTTTGCCGACAGGCAAGGCAGGCAAGTGCTTGGACCAGAAGGGGGCCCCCAAAGAAGGTAGATTAAGAAGGTCCACAGCAACGACAACATGAAACACCCTTTAATTTACTGCAACAACATGTCGGGAAACCCCCTCAAGGGGGCCCCATGCATAGAGCGCCGTAAGAAACATTTTCTTAATTTCAGTTTCGTTGCTCCGCTCCGGGGGGGGGTGACTTTACTGGCATTGATCCGGACCAGTGACCTTGTATAAAGTTCACAAGTGGACCTTTAATAAAAAAGTTTGAGTACCCCTGAGCTACAGTGTAGAAAAGGCAATGACATTCTTATGACCCGAGCTCCTCCAACAATGCAACATATATAATAAAATACAAAAATTTAAATTAAATTAAAATTAAATGTAATGAGTGATGTTGGATGCAAATTACATTGGGATTATTTTGTGGAAAATGCATTACCTTTGACATCCTGTTCGAACATGTCTTCCTTGTTGCAGTATATCTATACAGTATAAGGCCACAAATATGAGCGCATACACAGTGCAACTTGTAAAGGATGTGTGCCAGAACCTTGTCAACTCATGACTGGTGTCCCTCATGGCTTCGTCCTGGGTCCCCTCTTTTTCTTTACATCAATTAAATTGGCTCTGTTATTCTCTTGCATGGATTCTGCTTCCACTGCTATGCAGATGTCACTCAACTGACTCTGTCTTTTCCACGTCCTGAACTGACCATGAAGGTGATGCAGGTTATGGTCCAGGCTCTTTTCACCTCATGTCCAGAGATGGCAAAAGTACACACATCATTTACTCAAGTAAAAGTAGAGATACTCGTGTTTAAAAATACTCTGGTAAAAGTAGAAGTACTGACTAAACTTCTTTACTCAAGTAAAAGTAAAGAAGTATGGGCTTCGAAATGTACTTAAGTAAAAAGTACCCATAACTACTGTGTTATGAAGGTTATGCATGTAAACGGTGTGCAGAGTCACAAACCCTCAAAGTACACCCTGTAGCGAGTAAAACTCTAACGCAGAAAATACCTCCCCAAAACGCCTCGTTGGAGATACGTCATTGTCCATTTGATTCTTCCATTTCGTTCCGGGTACGGCATTATGTCATGCCGTACCCGGAACAAAATGGACCAATCCGGAAGAGCTATGGCCACACCCAGCGGCGCTGGCCGCACCCTCTGCCAGCCTAACATTTACTGTTGGAAGCTCTGGTTCAGTTCACAATCGATCCAGTCATGCCAAAGCCAAGGACCTGTTTCTTGAAATGTGAGGGGAAATCTGAGCTGTTTCTCCTACCGACGGAAGAACCACGACGAAGTCAGTGGTTAGTAGATATTTGGCTTTCCTAGCATGTATGCTACAAAGCTAAACAACAAGGCTACCTAGAGCTTGAGATGCTAGGGAAGACATTGTTTTTATGCAAGCTAAAAAGAATTACCGAAACGTAGCAGACTACCGTATAAGATTGCAATTGTAAACACGCTCTTGCTAGCCGAATGTAAGATCCTCACGTATATCATGTACTGTTGTGTCTATTCTAGCACACTGACTGTGACAGTGCTGAGTGTGCAGCGCTACCTACAGGTGGTGCACCTGCAGAAGATCTTCGAATGTGTAGGAAAGAGGAGGCTTCTGGTTCTGCTCTGGCTGGTTACCATGATCCTGTCTATCCCTGCTTTAGTGGTTCCACATGACACTAAAGACCAGTATGGTACATCCTGCACACATATTGACTCTCTCCCTTCCCAGCTGGTTGCCATGCTGCTGACAGAGTGTCTTGAGGGATTGGTTGCAATTTCTGTCGTGGCATTTTCATACATCGGCCACCACAGCAAACTGAACTGAACCATGCAGCTTTCTTCAACAACCCACAGACGACCCGGCTCATCATAAGTCTCACTGTGGCTTTTTTTGTCCTATGGATGCCATTTTGTATCACAAATGTACTTGGTGTTGCAGCTATTTCGCTAAAAAATCAAGGCCTATGGAGGTTTTGCTTGATCAGCTACAACCTTGTCAAATCACTGGTATTTGTGAATTCCTCTCTGAATCCATTCCTTTATGCTTTTGCTTATAGAAACATGTGCACTGGGTGCAGAGAAAGCTAAATGTAATACTGTTTTTAATGCAGTAGCTCAACATTATAGGACGCCTAATCATTTCATTTTGCATGATCACAAAAAAACTGTACAAAATGCTGAACTTGTATGATGTTAAAAGAAAGCACAGAAATCATTTTACAATAACTCATGGATCTTAAAAAAAGATATGTTAGTCTAAAGATATCAGCTGATATGCAGTTTGTTTTATTCTTTGATCAATTGTTAGGTTAACCATTGACTTCCCTGGACTTCCCAAAAAGTATATATTTTTTTATTTAATCAGGCGAAGAGTTGAAAGATGAACATTGTGATGATAAACACACCCACACATCAAAGGCTCAGTACTTACTGTCATCACACTGAAAGATGAATTCGAGTAATTCATCTGGAAGTTTCCTTTGCAAACTAAATGCTAATGTTAAGATTCAATGTTCATCTTTGTCTTGAGAACAGCGTCCTGAGAACTTTCGATAGTATAACATAACAGCGTTTAGCATTTTTTATATATGAAATCGAGATATTATATCGTTTTTATAGCATATTTGGCTAAGAATAGGACTGCTTGATGTTGTTCGAAAGTCTTAATGTTGATGTGGTTTAATTTTAGAAAGTGAGCTTTTTTGTTTTGGTCTCTTTCAAGTCACGTTATTGAATAGTTTTGGATGTACCTTGAGTTGGTCTTCAAAGACACACAGAGAGGAAATACAAAGTTAAAAATGGCTCATCATTACCCACATGTTTTTTTTCCGACCTGATGAATGCTCTTGCGTGCACGTGTACACACACACGCTTTCTTTTTTAGGAGTAGATATTTTGCTGAAAGAACGTTTGTGTGTTTACCATTATTATCTTTTTTAATAAATGCTTTTTTAATCTACTGTATATGCTGGTCTGTTATTGATATTGTACAAGAGTGCATGCTGCCAACCTCTACTGTTGATGACTCCAAAATCAACCTAGTTATGATAAAGATGTGGTCATTTTTGGTTGTTGTGAAAAAAGATGAATACAAGTCTGGCCTAAATCTTCTGTCAGAAAGACTGCAGCAATCCAGGGGGTGTAGTTAACCAAACTTTAATTGTTCCACAATTAGTTAACGTCTGTGCAGTTATGTTCGTTTTTTTAATTTGCTTCCTCCTAGGAGTTCCTGGAAATATTGCTGTGATCATCCTCAAACCAAACTGGCAGCACCTGTCCAGTCTGAGTCAGAGTCTGATGCTGAATTTGGCCATATCAGATCTGATCTGCCTGCTCCCCCTGCCTCTGTGGATTTACACCTTACAGTACAGCTGGACTTTTGGCCTGGTGGCTTGTAAGATCCTCACGTATCTCATGTACTGTGGTGTCTATTCTAGCATGCTTACAGTGACGGTGCTGAGTGTGCAGCGCTACCTACAGGTGGTGCACCTGCAGACGATCTTCAAATGTGTAGGAAAGAGGAGGCTTCTGGTTCTGCTCTGGCTGGTTACCATGATCCTGTCTATCCCTGCTTCAGTGGTTCCACATGTCACTAAAGACCAGTATGGTACATCCTGCACACGTACTGACTCTCTCCCTTCCCAGCTGGTTGCCATGCTGCTGACAGAGTGTCTTGTAGGATTGGTTGCAATTTCTGTCGTGGCATTTTCATACATCGGCCTCCACAGCAAACTGAACCATGCAGCTTTCTTCAACAACCCACAGACGACCCGGCTCATCATAAGTATCACTGTGGCTTTTTTTGTCCTATGGATGCCATTTTGTATCACAAATGTACTTGGTGTTGCAGCTATTTCGCTCAAAAATCAAGGCCTATGGAGGTTTTGCTTGATCAGCTACAACCTTGTCAAATCACTGGTATTTGTGAATTCCTCTCTGAATCCATTCCTTTATGCTTTTGCTTATAGAAACATGTGCACTGGGTGCAGAGAAAGCTAAATGTAATACTGTTTTTAATGCAGTAGCTCAACATTATAGGACGCCTAATCATTTGATTTTGCATGATCACAAAAAAACTGTACAAAATGCTGAACTTGTATGATGTTAAAAGAAAGCACAGAAATCATTTTACAATAACTCATGGATCTTAAAAAAAGATATGTTAGTCTAAAGATATCAGCTGATATGCAGTTTGTTTTATTCTTTGATCAATTGTTAGGTTAACCATTGACTTCCCTGGACTTCCCAAAAAGTATATATTTTTTAATTTAATCACGCGAAGAGTTGAAAGATGAACATTGTAATGATAAACACACCCACACATCAAAGGCTCAGTAATTACTGTCATCACACTGAAAGATGATGTTTGTGGTCATCAAGATGAATTAAAGTGATTCATCTGGAAGTTTCCTTTGCAAACTAAATGCTAATGTTAAGATTCAATGTTCATCTTTGTCTTGAGAACAGCGTCCTGAGAACTTTCGATAGTATAACATAACAGCGTTTAGCATTTTTTATATATGAAATCGAGATATTATATCGTTTTTATAGTATATTTGGCTAAGAATAGGACTGCTTGATGTTGTTCGAAAGTCTTAATGTTGATGTGGTTTAATTTTAGAAAGTGAGCTTTATTGTTTTGGTCTCTTTCAAGTCACGTTATTGAATAGTTTTGGATGTACCTTGAGTTGGTCTTCAAAGACACACAGAGAGGAAATACAAAGTTAAAAATGGCTCATCATTACCCACATGTTTTTTTTTCCGACCTGATGAATGCTCTTGCGCGCACGTGTACACACACACGCTTTCTTTTTTAGGAGTGGATATTTTGCTGAAAGAACGTTTGTGTGTTTACCATTATTATCTTTTTTAATAAATGCTTTTTTAATCTACTGTATATGCTGGTCTGTTATTGATATTGTACAAGAGTGCATGCTGCCAACCTCTACTGTTGATGACTCCAAAATCAACCTAGTTATGATAAAGATGTGGTCATTTTTGGTTGTTGTGAAAAAAGATGAATACAAGTCTGGCCTAAATCTTCTGTCAGAAAGACTGCAGCAATCCAGGGGGTGTAGTTAACCAAACTTTAATTGTTCCACAATTAGTTAACGTCTCTGCAGTTATGTTCCTTTTTTTAATTTGCTTCCTCCTAGGAGTTCCTGGAAATATTGCTGTGATCATCCTCAAACCAAACTGGCAGCACCTGTCCAGTCTGAGCCAGAGTCTGATGCTGAATTTGGCCATATCAGATCTGATCTTCCTGCTACCCCTGCCTCTGTGGATTTACACCTTACTGAACAGCTGGACTCTCGGCCTGGTGGCTCCTCACGTATCTCATGTTGTGCAACCTCTATGCTTTCGGTGACATTGCTGAGTGTCCAGCGCTACCTACAGGTGGTGCACCTGTCAATAAGTAAAAAAAAGTAGCACTTAGGTTTTATTTTTACTTCTCTGGGGTTGTAGTGGTGAAAACTATTTCCTGATTTTTTTGTTCCTTTAAAAGACTGACTGAGTTGCTATCACTCACTCGGTGCCCAACACTCATCTTGTCTGCCAGCAGTTTGCAGCATGGAAGAGTTCAACACCTCTCTGGTCCCCTTCAACATCTCCTCCACTCCTGATCATCCATCTCCTGCGTCCTGGGCCTCCATCCATCTGATCCCAGCGGTGGTGCTGTCCATCTGCTTCCTGCTGGGAGTTCCTGGAAATATTGCTGTGATCATCCTCAAACCAAACTGGCAGCACCTGTCCAGTCTGAGCCAGAGTCTGATGCTGAATTTGGCCATATCAGATCTGATCTGCCTGCTCACACTGCCACTTTGGATTTTCACCTTACTGTACAGCTGGACTCTCGGCCTGGTGGCCTGTAAGCTTCTGGCGTATCTCATGTACTGCAGCCTCTATTCTAGCCTGCTTTCTGTGACATTGCTGAGTGTCCAGCGCTACCTACAGGTGGTGCACCGGCAGAAAACCTTCGACCGGGCAGGAAAGAGGAGGCTTCTGGTTCTGCTCTGGCTGGTTACCATGATCCTGTCTATCCCTGCTTTAGTGAACCAAGAGGTGATCAAAGACCATCATTGGACATTCTGCACAGGTACCTACGCTCCCCCTTCCCAGCTGGTGTCCGTGCTGCTGAAAGAGTGCCTGATAGGATTTTTTTCAATTTCTGTTGTCGCATTTGCATACATGGGTCTCCACAGGAAAGTGAACCAGGCAGCTTTCTTCAACAACCCACAGACGACCCGGCTGGTCACAAGCATCATTGTGACCCTTTTTGTTCTAAGGATGCCATTTTACATCACAAATGTTCTTGGTGTGGCAGCTATTCTGCTAAAAAATGAAGCCCTGTTGAAGTTTTGCTGGAAAATCTGGAACCTTGTTACAGCACTGGTAGTGGTGAATAGCTGCCTTAATCCACTCCTTTATGCATTTGCTGTGTGCCGTAAAAGGGAAAATGAATAGCGATGTTAATGCACAGGCTTGCCGTTACAGTTTGTTGAACTAAAAAAAGTTTCAAGAAAGCTCAACTTCCCTACTGATCTGTTTTGAGGGTGTGTCTCTCTAATCTCGCTGTGGATGTTTTGTAGTTTAATGAAAAAATGTAAGGTTAATAGGCAACGTCTTGCCTCAAATCAACTGTGGCCTTAAGTCAGAGCTGTACAAATAAAATGAATCAGACACAGTGAAAAGACGAACACAGGAATAATATAATCTTTTCAATTGAAAATTCAAAAAAGAAATTCCATAGAAAATGTATGTTTATTTGAAATGTGTGGATAATCCCCAGATATATTTTGTATACTTCCTCATATATATATATATATTATTTTTTGGGTGATTTGATGTGAATATGTGTATGGTCAAACTGTCCAAAAGCCTTTTCCGGCACTGTGAAATAATGCAATTTTTACTGTGTACATTATATCCATAAGCATCTTATCTTTATTGGAGGGATCCATTCAGAGGAAACAACAGTTAATGAATAGATTGAATGAATGTATGTGTTGGTGTGCAACCAAGAGAAAAGGAAAGACCATGTATCTGCAAATAACAGACAGACAACGAGAAAGCTAAAGGGAAGCATTCAGAGAGAGAAAGAATGTACTTTACTAATAATACAAGCAGATTTTTAAACCCATTCATTCATTCATTCATTTACTCTCCTTCCTTTGTCTATGACCTATGGAAGTCCTGAAAGACGACTGATCTATGTGTTTATGAATTAAGAACAACTGGAAATAACTTTATTGGATAATCTTTCTAACTTCCTTAAATGCTTTTTTATCATCTCTATCGGGGATGTGTACGGACAGCTTGAATCCAGACACATTTTCAGCCTTTACATTTGTTTTCTCTATATGGATTTTGTTAATAGCACAGAAGTGTTTTCAGAATGCACTTGAAGAATCAAAAGTTAAATCTCGTATACTGCTCAGTTTATGATTATTAGTTATACCTTTAAGTAACTCTTGCATAAATGAGTTAGCAGTGTTTTATTGTTGTAGTTCGGTTGATGTGGATCTAATGTTTAACTAGTTCAGTGATAATCTATCACAATGTAAACAAGTTAATTAAAACATTTTCTTCTTGATTGAAGCAGAGTAAAACAATTATAATTGTAACTATGTAATGTACAGTTCTTGTCCTACACACCACAACGTCTTTGTCGGACTGTGCTCATATGATGTTTGAAATGTGTTGTTTTCCTTAGCTGTGTTTTATTACGGCCTACGAGACTATGCTTAGTCGTTGTACAAATCATTCTCAATAAAGCTCTTTGTTCTTCTGCTGATGTGTCCCATGATAGTTGGCTACATCCATCACTGCATGTTTTTGTTCTCCTTCCCTTTGCACCCTCTTCAGCCTTCACCTTTTGTGCCTTCATTTCATTAATTTCCGGCACAACTAGAACTGAGACTTTGATATGTTTTGTGAACCAGGAAGTCCAGGGGGTCTTCTCCTGTGTTTGGCTGAGAAGAGGGACTTTTTTCCTGAAGTTACTCAGACGGTCTTGCCCTCATAGGCTGCAAAACCTCCACAATTTAAGCTCTCTCCTCGGGCTGTGTGAGCAGCAGGCTGGGTCACCTCACAACCATTTTTTTTTTGATGATCTCTGTCCAGGCACCACTGTTGATTAATAAAAAAACAGTCTAACCAAAGGGTCAGAACTGCTGCTGGGGAGAGTTTTTGTGACTCAGTATTTCCCCCAGCTGCTCCTTTAGGCCCAGGCAGGGTTTTGTCTGGCCTGTTTTCAACAAGGAAAGCACCCCTTTCCCATGCAAGGATGACTTCTCCTCTAAATTCTGTTCATGTCCTGCTGCCAAGAGGCTCTCTTGCAATTTCATAATATCAAACACTTTTGGTCATCAGAAAGGGGTCATCTCGATGCTGAGCAAACAAAGGAATAATATATTAAAAGACTGAGTGTATTTGAATGCTTAAAGGCTTAAGAAGTGGTACATTTCTTCTTTGTGGGAATGAAAACAAAATAAAAAATGACTCTATACAAATACTTTTAGTTTTTTATGTTTCTGTCAATGTACTTTGTGTGGTTTGAAGATGCAGTTTAGTCATGCAAAGGAATACATTATGGGATAATTATGGTCTTATCATAACATCTGCTAATTTAAATGAATTTTCAAATTATAATTACATTTTAGTTATTCAGATTGCAACATCATAAATTCCAACTCATGGCTACATCCATCTAATCAGGGAGTGTTTACAAAACCGCAAAGCTTATTATAAAGCAATAAACTGAGCTTAATCTTTGTTTTTGCTCAGCAGTCTGACGTCTAATTCAATTTTGGGAAATACCCTTATTCACTTTCTTGATGAGAAGATTGATAACACACTGTAATTATGAAGCTACAGCTGGTAGACGGTTAGCCTACATTAGCACAAAGACTGGACAAGGAGCTAACAGTTAGCAAGCAGTGAAGACGTCACTCCAGGAAGTTACAGGTACTTGTCAAGTAATAGTCCAGCAACATGCT